TGAAAATGTTAATTACTTTAAAAGCAAGTTGAATCAAAATACCAAGTATTGAAAGCATGATAAGTGTTATTATCATAATAGGTTAGTATACTTATTATTCAATTAAAATATTTCAACATTTCAATTTGAAAATGAACACCAATTTTGTTATTAATATAATAAAATGTTTTATTAATTAATAATTATCAATAGTTATCACAAAAATGTTTCAATATAAATTATATATTTATAAATTATTGCTATAATTAAGTTAATTTGTTAATACAAATAATCTAAAATTATAGAATGATACAATCAAATGACATTTATTATAATACAATGTGACATAATGTTGATTAAGTTAAATACTCTTCAAGACTTGATTACCACAAAACACACTTATTTTTTGGATTCATTGTTGAATTGATGGGACAATTGAATGCAGTGGCGAAACAGTTAGAGTTGGCTAACACTCCGTTGACCCGCGCTCTGGGAGGGCTGTGCTCATCGCTCTCGTAAACACTCTCCAACGCTTCTGGTCTTATATTATCGCACCATAGCTTTGGGTGAAGATAACGACATTGAGATTAGATTGAAATGAAAAGGTGTGATAAGCAAACAGACCGTAGCGTACGATATGAAGAATAGCTGGTCGGGTGTGTATTGGCTGACATGCGGTAACCGTTTTGGTTTCTCTCCGTTATGGTTACACATCTTATAGGCTTTGAATGTATTCCTGAGACCCCCGTTGTCCGCAGTGTTCTCTGTCTTTGTATTCTCACCGCTCACCTGATATACAGTATATCATTAAATTTATATCGCAATCATAGCGTAAAATATGGCAAAACAAACACAAAATCCGGAATCACAGTAATTGTTGTATTGGTTTATAAAGCAATTCTCCTTTTGATTGAATCTCCTTTGAGTTGGTTTGTCCCAAATGGTGCCCAAATTGCCCTTTTCATTGAATTGACTGCCTTTTAATTGTATGAATAAGCAATGATTTAATGTACAATGTTATTGTCTAAACAATGAGCACTAACCAGAGCTGTCAAATCCATGAGTTATTTCATGTCCTATTATCTATAAATAAACAACAAAACAATGTGTAAATCATAACACAATTGCAAATAATTTACTCACGAGTCCTAAAGTGGCATAATTTATATACGAAGGGTTATCGCAGTTAAAGAATGTATTAATTAGCGAAGCGGGTACAGCTACATTGTGCACAATAGAGTAAAAGTTAGTATTGTTTACTGTTATAATTTATTGTTATAACAAACTGATCGAGTTAAATGTTGGAAAGTATGCCGCGTTTACTGTTGTCGGCGCAAATGGCCAGCTAAAAGGTTACGATTATACTTTATATAAATAAATGTACAATATTTTTTATATACAATAATATTTTGATTACAATTACAGTATATCTTACTTTAAAGTTGCGTTCACGGGCTCATCAATGGACTTGAAGTTTGTGTAAACCGATCGCTTCAATAAGTGTAAAATGCATTCAAATGTTTTATCTTTATTGCATTCCATATCCTGTGAATTAAAAGTGTTAACTAAATTGCAATCAATTTTAGTGGCAATAAATACTGACCAAGTTGTACATACTGTCGAGAGTGCGGTCATCAAATAGCCAGTCGGGATATCCGACATTTTTAGTCATTTGTTTCACTTTAGCCAAAGTCATGGTTCGCGTCGACTTCTCCAACACTGGATTCGTTTGAAGCGATTTGTAAAACGCTTTTTGTATGTAATTCACTAACTCTGTTGACTGTGACAACAAACACCATAATTGAAATTTTAATTTTTGTAACAAAATTGCAGCCTTTTTTGTAACTAACTTTTCTTTTGGCTCTCAAATCAAAGTTATTTTCAATGTATTTCCGACTCGTGGCGAAAGGCATTAAGCCGTCCACTAATTCAACGCATAGTTTCCAGTCTTCGGGCGGAGTTGTAATGCCTGTCAACGACTTCTGCAATTCAAAGTCCATTTGCCTAAACTTTTTGATCGTATAATCGCTTAACATCTGAACGACTGAAAAGCCTAAAAAGTTTGCGATAACTCTATTCGGTGTCTTCAGTAATATTTGTGGCAATTTTGTAAAATACTGAATATCAGTGACAATGAGGTGATCCTCTTTAGTGAAGCGCACGTTTGTGCCACTCATGCGATAGATATTGTTGATGAGTGAAACCCAATCCATTTTATTAGATGACAATGCATTCAACTGTTTGAAAGTCATTTTGTTGTAAACCATATCCAGATTTGTCTCTTCGGTTTGAATCTAACAATTAAATTACTTTTTAAACTCATAATAAGTATAAATGAAAATTCAATTTACGCTTTCGAGTCGTGAGGAAAACATAAACAACTCATCAATTTGTTGAAGTGTCCGAACACTGTCTTTGGCTCCCATTATAAGACACTGTGTTAACACAAACTCGCGGATCATTTTTATTTCGTCCATTGAATTCATATTGTCGTCAGCAATGGTGGGAATGATGGGTACCATAAGACGTGTCCGGTTTCGTCGATTCCAGCGCTTCTTCCACTCTAAGGACAGGTCCGGCGCCGAACCTAACTGTACATAACATTGGGCATCATTTCTGCATATGTTTATGAAAGTGCCCTAAACTTACGTAAAGTATATTCTTTCTATTATCTCTGATGTCCGGCTGAACACCGATTTCGATGATTGAACTCAAGGCAAAGTTGGCGATCACTAGAGATAGGGCGTGAAAACGATCGTATGTTTTACCATTGAATACAGTGTTTGGTATTAGAGGCCATCCGCCGATTGAATTCAATGCATTTATTAGTGGTTTAATTCCTCGAGACTCTAGTTTTGCTGTTTAGAAAACAATTAAATTAACAATATTTAAAACAATGATTATTAAGGTATGAATACCAAAATCAGTGCATCCAATGTATAAATTGGTGGCATATTTAATGGACTTTGAATCACACCGTTTGTGAGATTCACTCAATTCCCGCTTTACTATTTGTGTCACCTTTTCGTCGGCCCTCTCCAGCGCACCAAATGAGACCATATTCTCGGGAATGACTGTACTTTTGGTGAATTTCCCGCAAACGTAATCATAGAAGTCATGGCACGGATCCACAGACGTGTCGATCAATTGTTTATATAATTTACCATAAGTTTCGCATTCATTGCTGTCACAAATGTCTTCAATTTTTGCTTTTGCTTTATTAGTTGACTTTGTCTGTCGTCTCACTCTCTTATAATTTTTATAATTACTTTGATTTCTATTCACGTCTAATATTGAATCTAAAATCAGTCACAAAAATGTTTATTAGTCTTTTATAAACAATAATATTTTCATTTAATAGTCACAAACCATTATTGAATTTATTATCAGTTGAGTTATATCTAAATATGAAATTTAAAATTAATATAAAACTTAATAAAACAATTGAAATCCATAGGAATCTCTTAATGAGTGTTTGCATCCAATCCATAAGAAATTCAGTTTTGTTTTGTCTGAAAACATGAGATGTGTCTTAAAAAACATTTCACTTCTTTATGAAAACATAAATGGGATTTCACTTCTGCTAAATATCTTGAATTTACTCATCATTTGACGATAAAAATGAGTTAAAATAATTAAAAGTTAAAATTATAACATTTTGTGTCTTCAAAAAGCAACAGACACTGCAATCTTATTGTATAATTGATGTCAATCTCTGGTTTATTCGTGTGAAGCCTATTGTTTTCAACACATTTAAACACATTCACAACGATTTCAATATCACTTACAATCAGATTATATTTTTATGTGCTTTTTATGCTCTAATTCCTTACGGAATACTAATAATAGAGTGAAATATTTTTTTAAAAATTATTATTTATATATAACTCTTTCTTAAAAACATAATAATAAAGATTAATTATAAGTTAAATTATATAATTGAAATAGTTTTAAGTATACTTTATTTATAACAAACATTTACATAATTTGCATGAAATAGTTGGCATATGTCATACTTATTATTACATTTTTAGTTTTTAATACTTATTTAGTGTATATTTTGAGTACAAAAGCGTGTTTTAATGCCGTTCCCGGTGTCAGAGGTGGATATGTCACTACAGTTCCCTTGCCTTTCGGGCTAAACTTTAATTCACCCGAAACTCCCAATAACTCTATTTTGGACACAATGGTCGGGTCGAGTGCTCCCAACTCCTGCTCGTTGTTATTGTCCGGCCATCGCAATGATATTAAATACACCGCCTTATCCGTTGAGGTATACCTTAAATTGAACATGTTTGTTTTAACATATATGCAATTTTATTATAGTTAATATTGCACTGACCATGCAAACGGTGTAATTGTATCATTTTGATGTTTCCACGGCTTAGTCGAGTAAATGGCCTCTCCATTCACTTTAAGCCAAGAGCCTAAGTCTCTCAACCGCTCCTCAAATAACAAATTGATCCTTCCGTCAGCCGTCGGACCGATATTTATCAACAGATTTCCTCCGCAACTGTGCGTTCATTCATATAAAAAGTGTTAACTATTTGTTAACTGAAACATAAATTAACCACCAACCTGACTGTCTTGGTCAATTGTTCAATCAGATCCCACATGTTCAAATAGGCGTCTAACTGTACATCCCTTCTGAAGCCCCACGAGTTCCGGTCCAAACTCATGGCATTTTCAAACTTGCGGTTTTGAATAACGCCCGGATTATACCTGTCCTGACAGGTATAAAATCCACCATGTTTGCATTTCGTGTTACTACCTGGGCAAGTTTAATACCACACAATTAATAACAACAAATTGAGATAAGATATGTCTGTATCTCAAACTTTACCCCATCTGTCATTTGTAACAATCGTATCCTTAACAGGACTTAAAATTTAAATAAAAGTAAGCACAAAATTATTGTAAAGTTTTGTCAAATATAATTTATATCATAATGCTATTATAATTATGTAAACAACCTCTCGTTGTAAAGCCAGGCCAAGAAATCAGTAGCGCTCCAATACTTATCGTCGGCGACCCACTCTCCGTCTGACCACAAGACGTCCGGTTTGTATGTATTGACCAATTCCTTCATTTCTGGCAATACTTTGGCCTAAATTTTATTTATGGCATAAATAATCAGATGTTAAGAGACATATTGATATTAATAAAATTATAAACAATTATAAATGAACACACACTTTCACGAACTCCTGTGTCTTATATCCAGTGCTCTGATCGGCGAGAAAGAGTGGATTAAAAAACTCCAACAATGAGTGATAGGCACCAAACTTAAGGCCAGTCTTACGGACAGATATGGCCAAATCGCCTGTAATTATAAATTAAATAATACTTAAGTGGAAAACATAACGTCAATCAATACCTAATAAGTCACGTCTGGGCCCGACATCCATGACATTCCAGTTCCAGGAGGTCTTTGACGGCCACATAGTGTAGCCCTCATGATGTTTGCTCGTCAGCACCACATACTTAGCCCCGGAATCTCTGCATTAAAACTAGTGTTTAATAACAAAATATACAATTAAGCTAAAAATGTTAATACTTAAACAATTGAGCCCATTTATCAGGATCGAAAAACTCGGCGGTGAATTCTTTGGCAAAGTCTGCGTACGTGAATCCGGGTCTATAATTACGGGTCATAAAATCGACCACATTCTTCTGCTTCTTTGCCGCCCAATTATAACTATTGAAAAATATTATAAAATAATCATTAATTAAAACATTATATGAATTATGAAAATATGTGTCAAAACATACCAAAACCATTCGCTGTCAAAGGCGGGCACCGAGAAAACGCCCCAATGTATGAAAATGCCTACTTTTGCCTCATCATACCATTGAGGCAGTGGACGGTTGTCCAGTGATTCCCAGTTTGGCTCGTATTTTACATCAATCTCATTGTCCAAACAATAAATGGTGTTGACAAATAGACCAATACTAAATAATATCAATGATTGTAGTCTTTTCATTATTATTTGTCTAGTATTTTAATAACAATTATGATTACCTTATTTACAACATCCTTATTATACGCAGATTTGGGACCTGAATCTTAAGGTAAAGACATATGTACTAAATGTGTGGTGTTTTGATAATAAAATATTGATTGCAGACAGGTGTTAAAAATTATGTCAACTACATTAACACTTCAATTGTGTATTAAAAGAATTATATAAAAAATACTAAAATCAGATAGTAAAATAGTTTGTTTGCGAAAACAACATCATGGTACTTTTTGGAAAGCATTATACAGGCAGTATAACACAAGCAGTACTAGAAAACTATAAATTGAAAACATTTGAGATTAATTCAATTAAGATATACAGTAAAATAGTTAATAAATTACCAAATAATTATGATATCAATTGTACATGTTGGTTGGGTATTGTACTCAATTAAAGTGTACTTTATAATGAGTTGATATAATTTAAAGTTAACGTGACATTGAAATTTCAACATTTTATAATAGACAAAATTTATCTATAGCTCAATCGATCGTATATTATAATATGTCTAATTGTAATAATAAATTATACTAATAAGAGCATCAAAATGGTCATACAATAATAAAGGTCAATTTATTAGTCTCAATAATAACAATTTATGAAGATGAGTTGATGACAATTTATGTTAATAAAATGTATACTAGTTCAGATATAGTGAATTTTATGTGAAATTTAATTATTATGTATGAATTAAACATATTATCAATTAAAAGTTTGCTTTATCTTGTTGTCGAGTATTTGTTTACTATCTTTTTAATGTATGTTTTGATTATATCACCGATTATTTGATTTATTACTATTGATATGTGTGTTAAACATAAGAACCGAAACTGAAATTATCTAAACTTTAGATATACTGTAGTTAACGATAACAGAGTTTTTAAAAAATAGGCACAAATAGTGGTCAATAGAGTTACAATTATTGAAAGCATTCATTTGTTTGATATTTGTTGTGTTCCCGACGTGTCTTCAGTTTAAACTTTTAAAACATTTAAATATAAACTTATTTTTACACCAAAAAATAACTTAACTGTAAATAATGGCCAAACAATCAAATTATGTAATTATAGACACCGACTGCGGAATTGACGACGCGTTGGCTCTAATGGTGGCCTTTGATTGCCATAAACGGGGATTAATTGAAATCCTGGGCATAACATGTGTGTACGGAAACGTTATGGTCGACAAAGTGATCAGAAATGTATTGTTAACGCAACGGCTCTTTAATCTTAAAGTAATTGTGATTTACGTAAACAAAAAACAATATTTTTAAAATCAAATATCCTTTAAATCCACAGAAAAACATCAAAGTATACAAAGGATGCGGTAATCCATTGATGACAAATCTAGGCTTTGAAGACGGGTTTATGGGCGCCGACGGACTCGGAAACAGTACCGAAACGATGGCTCAGATAGACGTTAAACACGAGAGCGAAGACGCGGCGCACGCTTTGGTCAGATTAGCCAAACAGTACCCAAAACAGATCAAACTGCTAACTCTGGGTCCGGTCACTAACATAGCGCTCGCCCATCACATCGACCCACAGTTTTTTGACAACTTGGGTCAAGTGGTGTCAATGGGCGGACTACTGGACACGATGGGCAATGTCGGGCCCACCACTGAATTCAATTATTTCAACGATCCCGAAGCGGTGCACGTATTACTGGCCAATAGTCAGTGTCCGTTAATTATTGTGCCCTGGGATACATGCCTTAAGCTCAGAATGCCATGGGTTTGTGATTTACCTTTTACACAGTATTATTCAATAACAATTTAATTGATATGATTTTATTTGTTATTAAATTAGAGTATATTTGACGAGATAATAAACTCTGGTAAAGAACGGGGACATTTTATACACAAAATTTACGAAAATCAAACCCATCATAAAGTATTTGGTATTTAAACTCTGCAATTGTTTGTACATTTGAAAATTACTTTAAATAAAATTGTGTAACCTATAGGCCGGTCCAGCGATGGTGTAGTTCTATGCGATATAACTGTTGTAATCGCCGCTCTCTTCCCGGAGTTGGTGTCGTTGAGTAGTGACTATCCGGTGGCCATTGAATTGTCTGGACATCTGACAAGAGGACAGTTAGTGGTTGATAGGACGGGACGGACGCAACGGAAACGGTTTACTGGTCACCGAAACGCTCAGTTTATGACCGACATGAATGTGCCCCATGTTATTGAATTGCTTAAGCAAATGGTTCACAATTGAATTTATAATA